CTACAAAGCCTGATCTTTAAATGCAGAATTAATTGTTTTCTATTTTTGTCTATAGGTACTGGTTATTAGAATAAAAGAAAGACTGAGTTTCTTTCAAAAGGTTTCCTGTATGCCTCATTACCCCATTTTTTTTCAGTTTAATTGATGGAGTAATGAAAGCAATACACCATGTGTTTCAATATTTAAGGCAGTTTTTATATTTAAATGTTAGGAGTAAAAATAATATTTTGCAGGATTTTAGATTCTGATTTGAGGTAATAGTCATGGGGTTTAATAAAAAAGATAGTGAAAGAAAAATGTATTCAGATTCCTAGTCATTAAAAATATTAAATGATATTTCATTACTGTACTATCAGACTTTATCAACCAATTACAATTCAGTCTGTATCACAGAAAAATCTGTTTTAATATTGTAATTCCAAATATGTGCCAGAGGGTTGTATTGTACTGGTATATTATTACTGTTAAAAGTGTTGAAAAGTAATCAGGGCAAGTTTTATAGAACTATTTAAATCAATTTGCAAAAATGAGACCGAAAACTTAAAACAAAATTTTTTTAACCTTTACATATCATGAATATTTTGTTGAGATATTACGCTGAGGAATTTTGAAGTCATAATGAACTGCTAGAGGAAAACGAAGAAAACTCAGAGTTATGGTTAATGTGTGACCCTTTCATATAAAAAAGATGCTACTTAAATATATAAGACCTGTGTGTTAGGTGGTGAGGAGGAAGGCAGATGGTGAGAGTACTAAGACATTTGAGCTTTTAATGACTAAACACACTATCAAATCCCAATGTCTGCATAAGCTGCTTCTCTCCCTCAAGTCATAAATAATAAAATATTCTTTTTTTATGATATATAAATCTAGTGAGAGAGGCAATACTAATGTGTGAAAATAAAGCCAGTAGAGAAATCAGAAGAAGGTAATGGTAAATCACTATTCACTGGGTTCCATATCTAATGTACATTTCTCAGTTTCATGAGAAAGTAATAGATAGGTGTGATTGTATTATATCACTATATGCCAGGGAGAAAGCTCCCTGCTTACCCGATTCTTCATTTTCATGTACCCTAGTTTTGCTTTGTCTGTCAAATCAAAGTCTCCAGCTTTTTTATTCTGCATTTCTGAAAACGTGATCCGAGTTTCTAGAATCTGTCATTTTTGTCTTTAGCCAATAGGACTAAATTGCTCTTTGCTCCTAATGATTACCTAGTTATTTCTCTCCATCCCCTCCCCCCTCTCTCCCCCATCTCCCACCCCCCTCATGCATCTCATTTTTTTTCTTTCCTTTTCTTTGTGGCTGAATTTTAACAGCCACTTTTCATCTGACACAGATGGCCTTATCTGAATACATCCCTTTGTGCTGAACTTCTGTAGATAGATTCACATTGGCAATGTGGATCTAATTGCAGAAAGTAAGGTTATCAATTTCAGTGCATGACCTGACACAATTCAGAATGAAATGCATATTTTTAAGATTTAATTGAAACTGTAATAATTGTTGTGAAAAATGTTTCATCTTATTCTTCTTACCATTTTCACTATAAAAATTTTTTTTTTATTGGGGAAGAGCCATGGTCATTTGTTACATATTGTTACAATGGCATAGTTGACTCATTTTAGGAAGGGCGCAGCTCACAGTGGCCCATGCGGGGGTTGAACCAGCAACCTTAGTGTTATCAGCACCACACTCCAACCAACTGAGCTAATAGTGACCTCGACATGGCAACTTCTTGAGTTTATATGATTGCTGGGGCTCCCAGCATGTGAATGGAATATTTAAAAAAAAATCTAGTAAAGAATCCTAACTAATATTTTTCTGTGTGTGTTTCTATCTTTTTGAAGCTAAATAAAGCTAACTCTGGCAAAAATGATGATAAAAAAGGCAACAAGGGAAACAGCAAAAATGAAACTGCCACCGAAAGTGGCAAGACGGCGGTAGTATTCTCCTTGAAAAACGAAGTTGGTGGATTGGTAAAAGCGCTGAAACTCTTTCAGGTGAATGTAAAATATCATTACATAACTTTAAAAGTGACTGTGTTCCTGGTTACAAATCTGTCATCTGTTATGGAACATTACTGAATCAATTTCTGGATAATGCATTGAAAGGTTCAAAGAAACCAAACTTCATGAGACTTTACAAGGGGAGTCTGTCAAACAATGGAATAAGCAGATTTGTGTGAACTATGTTCTATTGATTCAGAGTTAGCCTACTAGTAATTCTGTGCACTCTTGCGGGGTAAGGAAGTCAGTAATTAAAAAATGCGAGCCTCACAGCTGGAAATGCAAACACAAAAGAAGCCAAACAGGGTATCTTTATATAGCAAGAGCCTGCACCCTTTTTTGATTTAATGGTTGAATCATGCCCATGTCCTAGCAGCACATTTATTGCGTAAAATGAGATACATGCGTATAGGCATTCAGTATTCCCCTAAGCCTTATTGTTTCATGAGCTTACTGTGTCTTTTGTAAAGATGAGTCACTGTCCATACGTACAAGCTAGGACTAGCTCTCTTTATCTTACAGAAATGCAGTGGCCTTTCCCAGGCCCAAACTGGTGGTTTAAACCCTCAAAAAAGAGCCTGGTTGAGGGTGAGGTTAGAAAAGCCCAGAAAAACAATTGCCTTCCTGCCAGGGTATAGGGTATACCTGATGGATCCCCTACTCTCCAGCAAGCACCCTCTCTTACAAATGCATTTTGTTTGGGGGTGCTGGCTGCTGATTAGATAACATAGAGACCCCAGCTCTGCATGGTGCCTTGGGCTGCTAGTGCAGTGGAAAGATGGGTGGAATTACCGTCAGAGGACTCAGCCCTATGTTCTCCTGGCTTGGCTACTCATAGCTGCTTCCATGGTTCAATTTCTTCATTTGTGAAATAGCAATAATACTTCCTACCTAACAAGGTTGTTGTGATGAAGTAATATAAGTGAATGTGCTTTGTAAAGTGTACAGATATCAGGTGTTATTGTAATGCCTCTTTGATGACTATAGAGGGGGAATTAGCAGCCTCATTTGGCAACTATTTCCTTGTTCTCTTTTGACCTTGAGAAAAGGATCAGGCACCATCAACAGTGGTAATGGAAATCTGAGGTAATATTTTACACATAATTATATCATCCAGCGCTGTCTCCATACAGTGCCCAAANGTCCAGCAGCCGGCGACTGATCTGCCTCACCCGGGAAGAGCGCAATGATGGTGCCAACTTGGGCCAGTGAAGCAACGTCCTCCACAACTAGACTGAAGACCAAAACGACAGCAACTTGTCTGTTCCCCTTCCCCCAATTCCACAGCGCTGTTCCCATCCCCCCAATTCCCCAATAAAAATCTTTAAAAAAAGAAAAAAAAGTGTTTACTATGGTTCCTGACATGATTAAGCATTAGTAAATGCTATCATTATCTCATGGCAACCAAATAGATACTGCCACAGGCCATCATTTCTAACCTTAATACTCTGGTTGGTTTTTGCTCCCCAACCATACTATACTACAGGAAGAGCCCTGGGCCACCATTCGGTTCGTTTCCCATTGAAGTAATTTTCATTTGAAATCTGAACTGTATTCTGGTTTCGTCTGAGCCACTGCCTCCCTGACCCCCAAACAAATCACTGTCCTCTTTGTGCTTGAGGTTTACCCCCTTCACACTGGGCTTCAACGTGCTTGCCTTTTGTCAATCTCCCTTTATGAAAGCTGTTATAGCAACGTAATGAGAACCCAAGTATAAGATGTATCTTGTATTTTGCTTCTTAATGAAGTCTGATCATTCTCAAGTCAACCCTCTTGGTTAATATAGCAAGTAATCATAAAAATAAAAACCAGTCACAAGGCATGTCTGCATTAAGCATTTTTAGTAGCATGGGAAATGATAGTTGATGAACATTTTATCCCTTTTTCTGGCTGGAGGGTGAATGCCTGGCTCTCGCCTCCCAAGGTTTGGGAGTCTCAGTATCTAGTGCATACATTCAGTTAATCACCTCTTTTCGAGGTGGTGCTCCTCTTCTCAGCTATGTCTGGTGTTCTTCGGTGCAGAGGACTTCTGTTTTACCTTTTCAGAGAATAAGCTCCGTTCATCTGCCTGGGGCAGGAAAGGAAGTGGCTTGGCTATGTAGTATAGGGGAGGGATGTGATGAGGGTGTAACTACTCCCCTTTTAAAATAAAAGCTTCATGAAGATATAATTCATATGCCATAAAATTCACCCTTTTAAAGTGTATAGTTCAATGGTTTTTAATACATTCGCAAGAGTTGTGCAACTAGCACCAATATGTAATTTTAGAATATTTTCATCACCCTCAAAATAAACTGTACCCATTAGTAGTCATCCTTCCCCTCCCTCCAGCCCCTGGCAGCCACTAGTCAGTCTCTCTGTGTCTGTCTGTCTGTCTGTCTCTCTCTCTCTCTCTCTCCCTCTCCCTCTCCCTCTCCCTCTCCCTCTCTCCCTCCCTCTCTCTCTCCCTCTCTCCCTGTCTCCTCTCTCCTTTTGTGTATGTGTGTGTTTCTTTTTGCCCTTTCCAGACATTTTACATACACGGAATCTTACAATATGTGGACTTCTGTGACTGGCTTTTTTCACTTATGTTTTCAAGGTTCATTCATGTTGTAGCACATGAATTAGTTACTACTTCATTAGTACTTCATTCCTTTTTATTGCTATTTATGTATATACCATATTTTGTCTTTTCATCAATTGATATTTGAGTTGTTTCTACTTTTGACTGTTATGAATAATGCTGCTGTGAACATTCATATACAACTTTTTATGTGGACATATGTTTTCATTTTTCTTAGGTGTATACTTAAGAGTGAAATTGCTGAGTTATATGGTAACTCTAGGTTTAACTTTCTGAGGAACTGCTAAATATTTTTTTAAAATGACTACACCATTTTATGTATATCTAGGAATAAAATTGCTGGGCTATATAGTAACTTCATGTTTAACATTTGAGAAACTAATAAACTTTTCCAAAGTGGTTGTGCCATTGTTCAATCCCACCAACAATGTATGAGGGTTTCAGTTTTTCCACTTCCATTACTTCTGTCTTTTTTATTTTAGCAATCCTAGTGGTTTATGAAGTGGTATCTTGTGTTTTTTGATTTGCATTTTTCTAGTGACGAATGATGTTGAGCATCTTTTCATGTGCTTATTGGCCACATATTCTTTGGAGAAAGGTCTATTCAAATACTTTCCCATTTAAAAATTGGTTTATTTTTTCATTGTTAAGTTCAAAAAGTTCCTTATGTATTTTAGATACTGTCTCCTATGAAATACATGATTTACAAATATTTTCTCCCACCTGTAGGTTGTCTTTTCATTTTTTTGATGGTATCCTTTGAAACATAAAAGTTTCTAATGTTGAAGAAATCTTATTTCTTCTTTGGTTGCTTATGCTTTTGGTGTCATATCTAAAAAATAATTGCCTAATATAAGATTATGAAGATATACGCCCATGTTTTAAGAGTTTTTGTTCTTACATTTAGGTCTATGACCCATTTTGAGTTAATTGTTGTGTATGATGTAAGGTTGGAGTTTAATGTCATTGTTTTTCATGTGGATATCTGAAGTTGTCCCAACATTTGTTTAAAAGATTATTGTTTCTCCATTGATTATTTTTGGTTGGAAATCAGTTGACCATAAATGTAAGGGTTTATTTCTAGAATCTAAATTCCATTCCATTTATATGCCTATCCTTTTGCAGTACCACACTGTTTTAATTACTGTAGCTTTAAGTTTTGAATTGTTTAACTGCTTCTTTTTTTTTTTTTTTTTTTTTTTTAGCTGAGCCATCCTGCTACCTATTGGCAGCTTAGCGGCTGCTCAGCTCGGGCTGGACTCGAACCGC